TGCAGCAATCTCTGATATGGCTAAGAAAGAGATAATTTGCTTTGTTAAAGCAGATGAAAGGAAGCTTGCAATAATTCAGAGCTAAGTGCCGAGAGGAGAGACTGTGGGACAGATAGGGAAAGTTGCAGTTTATGATGCCTAAGAGTACACTGAAAAATAACACCAAGTAATAGTTATTTTGTTCTGAAGGGCATGTTTAAGCATTTTGTTCAGTTGCTAAATTTAACATATAACTTAAAATATAATGTTCAAAAAGCCAATGCCTGTTGACATTTTACTTTATCCCTCAACTTACACTGTTGTTCTGTTCATTTTTCGAAGGAACATCAGTCATCATTTAGACTTGTGTAACTGAGAAAATAATTAGCCTACGTATATTTGTGAGTCAAATACCCACATACTCTGATTTCTGTGAGGGCAACTTTCTTTGGATTCTAGGCATCAAAAAGGGTACCAAAGGAGGGCTTTCATGGATTATTGCTTACCTGCATAAGCATTTGAGCTTAAGGCATCATTCTTTGTCCTGAGCAGGAGCAGCATGTTTAGAATTAAAGAGATGAAGAATGTCCCAAAGTTGTTTGCAGATACATCAAAAATATTTTCATAGAGGACAGCAGATAAACAGGTTGACAGTTAAGGCAAGTTCTGTCCAGTGTAAATGGCTGTAAACCTTGTTCTTCAAGATCGTACTGCTCACAAATGCAAGTTGTGTATCACCATCAGAGAACTGATGCCTCTGTGCAGTCAAGTGTTTGTTGCTTTGCCCAGCTGGAAGACTGAGGATGTCATATGTTTGTTTTCAGGCTTCTTGCTTCTACTGAAGACTATTATGCACTTCTTCATATCAAGCAAGAAACACTATGCATTCAAGATGAGGTTCATGTGCTTCATCTTCAGATCCTTGCAAACAGAAAATAGCCATTGCTCAGTTCATTGGTGGAGTCCTGGTCTTGTAGTTTTAGAGAAGCCCATTTTAAAATCTGTGCTCTTTAAAGGCTTCTCTTGGCTTAGTAGATAAATCTATGGAGCTGTTGGAAAACAGAAAAATTCCGGTAGAACAGCTTTTAAAACTAGTGGTTGCTGGCACTCTTTATCATAGAGTACTTGAAGGAACTCAAATTAATGGATGGTTAATTCTGTTATTACTTGTTTCAATTAAATAGAGCAAATGAGCAATATAGTCAAACCTTAACTTTGGCTTGCCCAAGCTGCTTACTCTGTATCTGTTGTAATAATTTGTGTCCAGGTTTTTTAACAGTTGTGTCTAAATTGTCAACACAGCTTGTAACCGTTTGCTTCACTTTAAAACACACATTCTTCACGGCTGAGAAACTGTGAAAGCTGAGTTGTCTGTTTTTCAAATTTGCCTGAAATCACTGAAAATTTGAATAGTCAGCATGAATTAATTGAATTTTTTGGCCATTTTTTCCCTTTCTTGTGAAATAGTCTTAAGCAAGGCCTTTTAGTTCTGATGTACATAGTTATGAACATTTACTAACTAGCACAGACTGATACTTTTTAATTCTTTGAAATCTGACACTTGCTTTTTCATCTTTTACTTTAGCCACACCTTGAACGGACTGATCAATGGGGTAGAAGTTGGTGACTTTCAGAAATATTTATGTCTAGCTAAAGCTGCAGTGGACTGATGAGGGAACTTTATGAATATTAATTCTTTGATTCTCTTTTTTCCTCAAATTTTGACATACTGGAAGTCCTAAGTGTCCTTAAAATCAAGCTGCTTACCAAGCCAAAATACACTGCAATAACTCTGTAGTGCAAGAGGCGTACAGGAGGCTGACTGAGGAGCGCAAATTCCAAATAGAACTAATTACTGCCTGGATACTTGAAAATATATGCATTCCTTCCTTTTTCATTTCCTTTGTATGATATATGATTCCCCTGAAAGTTAAGCAAGAGCTTAAAGCAGTGATTTAGTTTATTATTTACTTCAAAACAGGATAAAAAGAATGATGTTGGAAATTATAAAATGCAGTAATCAAATCTAAGGCTTCTTAGAATTTTATTCTCAAAAGAGCCCTTCTTGCTGTTGAAATAATTATCGTGGTGCTTTTACTTAGCCTAAGTAATTTTAATTTACTTTTAAAAGTAGCTGCTGCATTATGTAGTATTGATATAAGAAAAACCCCTGAGCATCTGAGCATGAATTCACTGAATTCATGTTACTGATTGTTGTGTGAATCAGGATAATCAGAAACATGGCAAGTACGATGCTTACAATGCTACAATTTTAAAGTAACTGTACTGCCTCTGTTTCATTTCTGCAATTTGGAATCATTCTCTATTAATATTTTTAAGGATGCTGCTGAGATCTGTAGGAGAGCCATGTAATAGTGAAGAGCACTGTAACATAAAATATTAATTAGCATCATGTACTTTAAAGGGAATTTCAGTCTTTTTTCTGTAAGGTGTTAGTTGTTTAAAGAATAAGTGTAATTTGTTTTCCTTTCAGGTACTGTGAAGCATAAACATGCAAATTATAAAATTCTTCCTTCTTTTGCAGAAATGCTAAAAGAGCTCATTTTTACATTCTGAGATCCCATCGTATCCCACAAAACCAAGAGGGGTAACGCGAATCTAGAATACCTTGCCGTTGCAGGAAGCTGTTCTGGAGATAAGGAATATAGTAGTGTATATACACCATAGAGGTGGTTGTCATAGCTTGTGGATGACAATATTCTGCTGCTCGCAGGCACTGTCTTTCATGTGAGATATAAAGCTACTGTATTTAACAGCATTTGGCTCTTGTAACTGCTGTACCACTCTGAAAAAGCATGAGTTAATCACAAAGGCTGGAATAATTTCAACTCAAACCAAATTCATTTTGTCTGTCAGCATTCCTCTAGCCTTTTTTGGAGGGGTTGGGAAGGGAGATCTAAGATGTCTCTCTCCTGGTAACTCGGCATAAACAGCTAGTTTGTGCCACTTTGCCAACGGCGTCTGAGCTAATATCCCATTATGTTTTAGCATTCTTTATGTAAGCAGGCAGAATTCAAGTTATGTCATTAAATCAACATCTGGCCCCAGTTATCTTGACATAGTGGGCCAAAAGATGTCTGCTTTTCTCTTCATGTTCTTGCTATTGTATGGGGCAATTTATTTTTTTGTTTGCTGTCGGAGAAGTCTTCTACGTGTTAGCACTTCCCTCCTGCTGTCCTTCACAGGAAGGATACCAAAGGAGACCTGTCTATTTTCTGGGGAGGAAAGGCATATGCTAGAGCATCTCTTGCTTAGTCCTCTTCTCAAAAGGCTTGGTGTGTTTCTGAAGTGCTCATCCTTAAACTGCATTGGCTGTTTTCTTCTTTGTAACTTTTAATGGGATCTGGAGAAGCAAAGGAACTTCCATTTTGACTCATCTCATGGAGAGTGCAAGATTTCAAGTAAATTTCCATGAACTTCTTTCAACACAGGGTTGGAGAACAGAGGGAGAGGGAACAGCAAAGCTAGAAAGCTTAGTATTGCAGGCAGGGGAGAAGTAGAAAATACAGCAAAATTTTGAGGGGCTTATTCAAGGGAATGCTGAGAGCTGTTGGGGATAGAAGCTTTGCTAGGTGAGAACTAATTGCAGAGAATTAGGTGTTTGTAAGGGAGCAGATGGATTTCTTGGAACAATCTACCAGGAAAAATGAAAAATTAATTAATTGGATACTCACAAAATTTATTGGGTGCCTCAGTAAGTTTGCAGAAAAAGCAGATTTGTTCGTTTGAGGACTCTATGTGAATAAGGGTTTCCAATGAGTTAGTTTATTTTGCAGTCTGTGTGTCTCCTATTTTGAAATCTGGATTCAGAGATTTCTTCTGGATTTTCTTGAGATAGTAACACAGTTATAGAGGTAGGGAACAGAGAAAGTAAGTTAATAGGAGAAATACAGAAAGAGTGGAAGAAAGCTCTGTGAATGAAAATGTAGTAAGCTTCGGTGTGCAACAAGAAATTGCTTTGTACTGAAGAGTAACTGACACAGGTACAATAACAACTAAATTGGGGTGAACCCTGCAAATTACACACAGCCTTATGTATTTAATGTGATTTTTATACTTTTATAAAAAGAACCTGTAAAGATTTGGGTGGTTTTTTTTTTTTTAAAAAAAGACTAAAGCAGTAGAATTTATTAATAATGTAGAGTAAATGATACCTCTAGATGTATATAATAGACGCTGCTTCTCATTACCTGGCTCATTTTAACCTCCTTTCCTTTCCTCTCCGCCAAAAAAACATTTAAATTTCTGAAGCTGATAAAGTCACTGCATTTCAAAGGGACAGGCACATACTTACTTTGGCTTGTTGTGAACATGCATATCTGTGTATATATGTGCATATGCATACATATAAGAAAAACAAATTAGAAAATTGATATTTTCTCCATCTAAGTTTTGAAGAAATGATCTTGTGTATGTGTGCTATTTTAAATTGTAATAAGGTAAGCAGAAATACTGTAGGAAAAGATTGTTGAACGACTCAGGGAACAACAGGGAAGTATACTAAAGTGAATAAATACTAAATTTATGATTATTTTTAGGCCCTGCAGAAAATTCTAAGAAACTTTTTTTTTGTATGCTAAATACTAATCTAGTCTTATTTCCTCTTCAGCAATTGCTGTAACCTTGAGACAATTGTTAAGAACAGGGTATCATGGATTTATTTACTAATATTCTGGGTTTTTAAAGTTGTATTGACCACCCCCTTTGTTTATGCACCAGAAATGGGATGCGTTCAAATTTTCAGCCCCTGCAGGAAAAAAAAAGCAGAACTTTTAAATGGTACTGCTTACTAATTATTTTGGTGCCTTGACAGTTTACCAGCCTGTAATTACTGACTTTTCCTATTACTCTGACTGAAATAGCTGTAGTGAGTTCACTATATTTACCAGGGATGAATCACCTGATGCCTGCCATGCTTCTACAGCAAAGGAGAAGCTTCCACTAAAAGCTCTGTAAATATGCAGTAGCAACATCTTAGGGGTTTGTTTTATTGTTTTCAGGGTGCTGGGTGCACTGCACTGGTGGTAGCTGTGGTGGCAAGGAAGTTAGAACTTACCAAAGCTGAAAAACATGTGCATAATTTCATGATGGACACCCAGCTAACTAAAAGAGTAAGTCACACTTTATATTCACAACTGAAAAGGAAATGTGTGTTAATTTACTTCTGCATTTGTTTTAAATAGTTTCCTGCTCTGTTTTCCCACTGAACTTTTTCACAGGTGTGATTTTGCAAGGAGAAGAATTGAATACCTTGAGCTTTTCTCTGAGTTGAGGGCAACTGCGAGTTCTCAGCAGATTCTGAGGATTAGAATATTCTTCTATAGGCGGTCCTTGCAGCTGGAAGATAATTTTTATAACCAACAGTTAAATGCTGTGAAACTAAAGACTATTACATAAAACTAAAAAACTCTCATGCAGCATATAAGAATATTTAATATTTTTGTAGCTAAAATAGGTGAAATGGCTGATAGATACAAGAATTTCAAGCTATGAAGGATGTTCTTAAGAATAAGATGTTTTTGCCATATGTGGGTGAGACAGTCTTTGCAATTGCTTTGTGTACTTAACACACGGTGTTTGTAGATAATATATTTAGATTTTAAAAAAGAAAACCTCTAGAAATGTTAGAACTCATAAAATTATTTGAAAATTTGCCTTACGAGATAGAATTTAAATAACAATAACATCTCAGAAAATTAAAGAGTGTGGCAAACAAGGCAATAGGAATTCCCTATTGAAATAAAACAGGTCAGTGTTGAGGGAACAAGAAAATGAGTAGGAGCTACACAGTCCTCTCCAGTTGTTTGATCTTCATCATTAAGAAGAGCCAATACGGACAGGAAGGTCCTTATGCTCACAACAGGAACTCAAGAGATCTTTTCTTTTCTGATGAGAATAGAGGGATCTCAATACCTGAGCTGGAAGCCACGGCTCTGCTCCAGATGGGAAGGAGGCTGGGTGACCCAGCAGAGCTCCGTGCAGCGGTGCAGTGCTGCACTGCCACTGGTCCTCTGCTGCGGAGAGCCGTGTCATGTCTCTACACACTGCATTTCCAGGACATGTCAGCACACCGCTCTGGTTGTGCTGGCTCCCTCGCTTCTATGCTGATTGCCACTAACAGCCTATCTCCTACGCAGTCATGGTGGAGAAAGGATGAGAGGGGAGGCAGTTCTTACATAGGTATAAAGGGTGTCTCACTTGAGGTGCCTGTCTGAGCTTGTTGATTTACACTCCTATTAAAGCCAGTTAAGGTCTTGACACTAGACCGCAGACAATTTGTCTCTTCCTAACATAGGCACTTTTCTAGTGTAATCGGACAACTGAGCTCAAAATGTCTTTCAGGATGGAAAAATTATAAAGATTTTGAGTCTGGTGGTCATTTGTGCCTTTTAAAGTTTATTTTATTCAGCTGTCCTTCATACAAACCTGAGTGTGTCTAATCTAATACAGTCTAATACTGTATACAAGTGGTATTTTGGTAGCTTCAAACTCAGGAAACTCAAAGCACATGAAAACCAAACCAAGCAAACAAATCTGAGATGCACAACAGGTCACGAATCAGTTGCGCAGATATTAGAGAGATTTCCTTACAGCCTGAATATAGCCATACCTTGTAGAAATGCAAGGACTAGACAGAGAGTGTGTGGGGGTCTCTAGAATATGATTATGTTTCCACTGAAGTCAGGACCAAGGTTCTCCAACACCTCTACAGGTACAAAGTGGAGACC